GAAATCAATAAAAAAATATGTTTTAAAAAAAGGAAAAATAACTTTTTCTATTCTAGGACACCCAAGTCTAAGTTATTTTCATGTTGAAGTTCGTAGATATTTCCCAACTCAGTTTAAAAAGTTTATGAATCTAGGTAAGTTAGAAAGAGGAAAAATGAATTCAATTTATGTCCACATTTGTACAGGTCTGAAATATGGCCGTCAACAAGAAGGAGCATTATTCAGGGTAATTGAAAGTTGGGGATAAAATAGAAATGTGATTTATATAGTCCAATAAAATACAAGTATATTCAAAATAAGTTTATATTATAATTTGAAAGTAAGTTTTGTCAGCACACATATGACTACATGTGACTGATTTCTACTGAATTGTTCATCACTTAGATATTATTTTCATAAATAAGGCTGTTTATCAATAACTTCAAAGAAATAGGAGATAAATGTCCTGAATGACCAATAAATTATATAGGATTTGGCAAAAGTTGGTTTACAGTTATGAGTATGGGAAACAGTTAATAAAACTATTATAATAATCATAACCTGCATGACTTTTTCTATATGAACTGTAAACCTACTTTTGCCAAGCCCCTATAGTATTAGAAAAGGTTTTCTAGTCAATAAATAGATTATTTTTCTACATTTCTGTATTTTCCAAATTTATAGGGAAGCAGTTACTCAACATTTGACAAACTAAATAACCTTACATTCTTTGCTCTGGATGATTTAGTTATGAACTTGTCTGAGATCAAATTTTAAGACCTTTAAACTGTGGTATAAACATAGTTCGAAAGATAATACACTAATAAATATCCTATATAATAAAAGGCTAATATGCAAATAGATCGAACGGCAGAACAACTGGTCACTATGATGTGCACTGACCACCAGGGGGCATGCGCCAATCATGGCGGGCATTGGCAGCAGGCGGAAGAGCGCAGAACATGGCAGGCTCACAGTTCCTTTCTAGGTGCATGAATTCGTGCACTGGGCCCCTAGTATAAATAATAAATATTTAGGGATAAGACAAAGTGCTAAAAATTATTTTCCTTTTTTCAGAGAGAACAATAGTCTTAGCTTTGTAAAATTAATGAGTGGCCTTGAAAACTTTGTTCATTAATTTATTTATAAAATATTTACTATAATGAGCCTACCTGCTGAAAGTGCACTAAGACTAGAGAGAGAGGGAAAGAGAGAAACATTGATGTGAGAAACATTGATTGGTTGCCTCCTATACACACCCTAACTAGGAATCAAACCCACAACCTGGGTATGTGCCCTGACCAGTAATTGAACCTACAACCTTTTGGTGCATGGAGTAACACTCAACCACTGCGCCACACCAGTCAGGGCCATGTAAGTGTTCTTAATGATACATATGAATAATGTATATACATTCATATTTGTGCCTATAAAGCCACTGGTGGTAAATAAAGTAGATAGTATTTAAAATCTGTACTTTGCTGATGAAAAAAAACACAATTATTTAAATCAATCACTGGACTATCATGACCCAGGTCCCTTTTGCTTCCAGTTTACCTGTCTAATCCTAATCAAATAACAGAAATGACACGAGGAAAGGGCACTTAGATAATTATTCATCTGGTAAAGGACTAAGATGGCTTTCTAGTAGTTTTGCTAGTAAAATTTTAAATATGTCAAAATATAGTTTGTTGCCTCTGATAAAATGCTACCTCCTCAAAACAAATGATAAATTAGAAGAAACTTTTCTGTCCCAAGAAAAATGTGCTGCTCTCTGACCCTACAATGTCATTTCAAGGAATTTGTCCTTACAGATATACTTAGAAAAATATGCAAATATTTATGTACAAGGATATTTATTATTGCATTATCTGTAAGAGTAAAAAAAAATCTAGAGAAAGCCCTAAATATCCCACCAATAGGGAAGCGGTATATAGCACAGTGGTTAAGAATTGCCTGGATTAAAATCCCATCTCTACAGTTCACTAGACGTGTGATTATGGACAAATTATCTCACTGTGCTTTTAGTGGAGTTAAAAACAGGGTCTACTTCATTGGCTTGTGATAGTATTTTGAACAGTGCCTAATCCATTGTATATGTTCAATACATTTTGGTAATCATTATTTTTTAGGGGGATTAGGACACATTTTGGTAGAGGCACACAATAGAATACTAGGCAACTATTTTAAAAAGAGAGCTCTATGTACTCTACTTTACCAGATGCTACCTCAGTTTATCTCTCTCCAATGCCCAAGAAAAAACTTAGCTAGAGAGGAGCTAAATACACACACACACCTTTTTTGAGCTCTGGAGCAACATGAACTGTGAGGAGAGAAAAGAGTAGCCAATACTTTTGATGTATGTTTGGTGGTGGGTTCAGGGGAGAAAAGGGACCAGGGAAAGAATTATGGGCCCGATAGGAAATTGAGATCTGGCATCTTTTTGGTCACTAACTGCATAGATAGCCTTACTACACCAGAAACTCTAGCAGAGACTAATTTCTCCACCTCATATTGTGTGCAATCATGCTGAGTCAGAGGGTGAGTCAGCCCTGCTCTCTGGGAGGGAAAAGGAATGACCTCTTCCTGGGCAGCCAGGCCAATTTAGGAAAATTCCTTGCCCTGCGCCCTAATCAGTAGCTTGGTGCCTGAGAAAAATTAACTTATTCCCAGGGTGAGCAGTTGGCTTGCTCTACTCAACCTTGAGGATCAGGCCTAATTCCAGTTAACATCAGAATGTTCAAATTTAAGAGCACGTTGGGCACTGCCCAGGGAGAATAGACTAGGCACAGCCCTCAATTTGTAGCCTTAATTGTAACGCGTTAAGGAAAATAACAGGTCACTGTATTGGAAGCATGGAAGCTCCTAATAGTCTGTTTGGTGGCTCGCTTAGCAGAAAGTTTTCTGCCCCCCTTTAGGGTGGTTTTTCATTTTCCTTCTGAAAATTGCTTTTCTTGCACAGGGACTTAATGAATTAAACCACAAAACATGAACAGAAGAAACAATTCCAATAAAAAAGATCACAGTGGAATAAGATATGGACTCTCAGGACTCAAATATATTATTAAAAATGGTTAGGTATCTTTTCTGGCAATCAATAGATTTCTACAGGGTAGCACACTTTCCTAAAATCACTCCCTTTCAAGTTACTTGTCCTAATATTCTAGATTTGGATGAAAATAACTCGTTTTATCAAAGGGCAATATATTTTATAAACTGAGTCACAATGAAGGAGAGATGCAGAATATGAGATGACAATGACAAACTTGAACCTGTTGAGAATGTACCTTATGTATACATGGGAATGATGTGAAAGGAAAATGACAGAACATTAGAGGCAAACCATAGAGATATAGAGCGGAAGGAGTAAGGAACACATCCCATCAAAAGGAACAAAAGGTTTGAAGACAGATGGACACACACAGGTGGCTAGTGAAGTGTAGGATAAACAAGGAGAGGTCATAGGTTAGAGTATGGCTACACACAGGAGTTTTGCAAATAATTCTAATTTCCCAAGGGAATGCTATTGCCCAGGGATACACCTCCTCACTCTCTCCAGGTTTGCAAGTACAAAACAAGCCCCATCCCATGAAAGGGTGTGGCTGTTTGGTTCCTTCTACTAAGCAAACAGTAAACATCCACTTCATGCTTTATGGGAATTGAAGTTTGGGTTTTGGGAACTACGGGGAGGCATCTATTCTATTCTTAACTTTACACCTGCAACACTACACCTCAGATAAAAACCTGGTTGCACCCTAGCCAGTTTGACTCAGTGGATAGAGCATGGGCCTGCAGACCAAAGGTTCCCGGATTCGATTCCGGTCAAGGGCATGTACTTCGGTTGCAGGCTCCTGGTCAGGGCACATACAGGAGGCAACCAATCGATGTGTTTCTCTCACACTAATATTTCTCTCACACTAATATTTCTGCCTATCTTTCCCTCTCTTCCACTCTCTCTGAAAATCAATGAAAATATATCCTTGGGTGAGGTTTAAAAACCTGGTTGCTTCCAGTCTTAGAAGAAAAAAAAAAAGGCAAAAAATGTTGGCCTTTATTCTTCTTGGCAGGGGAAGTTGAGGTTAATGGAATTTAGTCATGCTTTACTGCTCCTTTTAGACTTCCAAAGTTATCCCAGGATTTCCCAGCAGCAAAGTAGATGCTTCTGTTCTAGAACAATGGGCCAAGGTCACCTTACCCCTAGGAACATGAGGAAAAGCCGAGTCTTGGAGAATGTAAAGACCTCAGTAGGTTCAGTTTCCTGTCCTACTTTGATCTTGTGGCTTATCACATTCTTTTTTTAATTTAGAAAATAATTTATATTAATAATGTATAGTACACTATCTGGCAGGGAGGTTATTTGTCCTGCTGAAGAAGATGGTAAATCCTGTAAAGTGGAAGTGGAATAGAAGACATTGGGCTCCACTACTGTAATCAAACTGTGATACTAAATATGTTACATGAAGAAGACTACTTCATTTGGACCTGGTACTTAACCCACCTACAACAACCTAAGATGGATAATCTATAAGCAACCTAACAAAGACTAATTTAATTTCCTCCTATATATAGCCTTAATGCCATGAAGAGCATTTCAGTTCCAATGTGCCAAGGTTCTTGAGCTATATTTAGAAGCTTAAAGAATTTGAGACAAAGTGAAGGGCCTCAAAGCTTGTTTTTGTTTTTTGGTTGTTTTTTTTAAGAGAGCGGAAAGGAGAGAAACATCAATTTGTTGTTCCACTTATTTATGCATTCATTGGTTGATTCTTGTATTAGCCCTGACTGGGGATTGAATCCATAAGCTTGGTGTATTGGACGATGGTCTAACTAACTGCACTACCTAGCCAGGGCCTAGCTCTATCTATGTATGATAGGGGAGTTACCAACTCTATATTGGATATAAAAGCAAGAGAGTTGGGTTATGTGGTAAGTAAATCAGAAAATAGTTATAGATTAACTATTAATTTCATTTTATAATTATGGTCTATTTTTTTTCCTCTGTATCTTCCTCTTCATTACTGCAGTACATATCACACAGGGCCTCTGGCAGGAAGTAATTGTCCCCCGATATCTACCCTTGTAGTGGTTTAATTCTTTGACCCTCCTCCCATCAAAAGATGGGATGTGTGTTTCCTCCCCTTGAATATGGGTGGGCTCTGACCAATAAAGTACAGAGGAAGTGATGCTATTTATGTAACTTCTGAGGTTCAGTCATAAAAAGCCTTTAGCATTCTCCTAGGTCTCTAGGAATCTCTTGTTCCTGAAGCCCTAAACCACCCTGTCAATACAACTATCCTGAGGTCACGAGTAAATGCTTTGGAAGATAATCCCATCTGAACCTGTCTTCCCAACATTCCAGCCCAGGAGCCAAACATGGGAGTGAAGATGCTATCTGGAGACCGAGTCCTCCACCCACAGTTGCTCCAGTTCTCAGCTATTACTCATCCCCAAACATCTCTGCTGTGCTTTCTGTATTTTGAACCCAGGGAACCTCATGAATATAATAAGACAGTTGTTGTTTTACACCACTAAGTTTTGGGGTGGTTTGTTACACAGCAAAAGGTAACTAAAACACCTTTAGAATCTCTGTGTGTTTTAGGTAGATGGCTGGCTAGTTAGAGGCTGTATTTCCTAGCCTCCTCTCGTGCAGGGGAATGTGGTTATAAGCCTTGCCTGTGAGATGTGAGTGGAAATGATGCAATAAAGTCAATAAAACATTAAGTGGCACACTTCCTCTCCCTCTTCCACTCCTTTTGGCTGAGACAGTGACAACTGGAGCAGCTACCTGGGATCCACAGACATTGCGTTTGGCTGTCACAGATTAGCTTCCCCAGGCAGCGGACTCAGCAGAGTTTAGAGTTTAGAATATTTAAAAGGAGTTTCCCAGGGATCAACTAAAGGGAGGGGAAGAAAGCAGGAGTGGCAAAGTTAAAAGCTGGGTTGCAATGCAGACCCAGTGACAGCCTCAGCCAACCCCCCAGAGAGCTCAGGAGCTAACAGCCCTTCAGAATTGTCCCCCATTGGGTCTAAATGGCCTTTATACTCCTACATGTATCAGTCATTGGATATGGGTCATCCTGTCCTATGCTTTTGTTAAGTTATAATTATAACATATTAGTTGTCTATTAGTGAATAACTAACCCAAAACATAGTGGCTAAAACCAACATTTATCATCTTACAGTTTGTGTGTGTAAAGAATTCAGAAATGTACAGGGTTGCAGTTAAGCTGTTGGCTGAGGCTTCAGTCATCTCAACTCAACTGGGGACCAAAGGACTCAGTTCACTCACTTGGTTGCTGACAGGGCTCTTCCTTACCATGGCCTTCCTCCTCAGGCTGCCTAAGTGTTCTCACAACATGCAGTTGGTGATCTGGGAGGAGAGAATCAGAGAGAGTCCAAGACAGAAGCCACAGTCAGACCAGCCCGTACTCAAGGAGAGGGGTTACATAAGGATGGAATCCCAGCCGCCAGGGACACGGGGGCAGGCTCAGAGGCTGCCTACCACGCACAGCACGCACACAATTTTGTATCCTGCCTTTTTCAGTTTTCATCAACTTAAATGTTTTGTTTTGCTACATGTTCTTCATTAAAAAAATGTTTTTAAAAATTATGAAAGGAATATTTAATCCCCCTCCCTGCTGAAAGCAATATTCTTGTAAAAAATTTCAAATGTGTAAATGATACATCTGTAAAACTTTTTTTTATGCTTTCCTATTAGTTGAAGAACCCAGAGGTATCCACAATTAAGTTTTATTAATCTGCTGAGAAATTTTACATATACACACACACAGTACTGTGTACTTAGTACTGTGCATTTAATGTTCTTAATATATCTTGGAGCTCTTTTCATATCACCATGTAAAGATCTGGGTCATTCTTTTTAACATTGGAATATTTCATTTCATGATTATATTAAAAATACGTTAAGCAGTCTCCTATTGATAGACATTTAAATTTTTTATTCATCTAGCAAAAGATGCAAATGTACATTCTTACCCATGTGCCTTTGCAAACTCATGCTGGTATAACTTTAGGATTAATTCCTGGGAAGTAGAATTCCTGGGCCTAAGAAATGCACATTTAAAATTCTTTTTAAAATATATTTTATTGATTTTTTACAGAGAGGAGGGGAGAGGGAGAGTTAGAAACATCGATGAGAGAGAAACATCGATCAGCTGCCTCCTGCACACTCCCTACTGGGGATGTGCCTGCAACTAAGGTATATGCCTTTGACCAGAATCGAACCTGGGACCCTTCAGTCCGCAGGTCGACACTCTATCCACTGAGCCAAACCGGTTAGGGCTGCACATTTAAAATTTTGATGGATATACAGTGTATGACTGTGTGTCTCTCTAAATAATGGCTAACACTGAGTATCAGTAAATTTAAAAATTTTGTCAGGTCCAGCCATGGCCAACACTGAATTATGTACATACCTGTATTAGACTGTTATGACATTAGTGTAATTGATGTTTACATTCCTTTTATTACAGGGTTAGCTCCTTGAAGCACAAACTTAACTGCATTTCTTTTTGTAGTCCTAGTACTTACTATCATACTTGCCACACAGTAGATACTCTGCAAATGTTTAATCAATGTCAGAGTTGAATTTAAGGCTTTGAGAAATCAGAGAAGCTGGTTCAAACCACAAAACCTGCCTCCAATTTGACCCTTATTCTCTCTGGCCTTCATTATCACAATTATAAAATACATGTATAAGACTAGATTTTTCTAGTCCTTTTCAGATCCAAAATTATATGCTTCTGAGAAGTAAATTAATGTTATCTTCTAATCTCTTTACATACCAATTTCAAATTAAATATTATAATCTAATCCTAGACCATACATTTGCCATATTTTTCTTTTTGTATTGTTTGTTTTTTGCCATATTTTTCAATACCAATGTATTGCTTTTCAGTTTATTTTGACAAATCAGTCATAGGTAGGTCTCTATCTTTAATCTTCAAAATTTTTCAGTGGTATAAAACCACAAGAAAACACATTAAGCAATGAGTATTTGGTTCTGAGATCCTTGTTTTCTTAAAATATGGACCCTAAGTATAGTCACAGTTTTCTAACATTTTTGTCTCTTGGGCTAGATTAAATAAGCAAACTGATTAGAGTACTATGCAATTGTTAAGATAGTTTGAAATACTGGTTATTAAAAATTATTAGGGAATTATCAGCTATCTTCATATTTTCATAAAATGTCACTATATATGTATATACACAATTTTTTGTTCCAACAGATCCTTATATCTTTTTCATATCTACTTGTTTCCAAAAGTTGTCAATCACAAACATAAGGTCTAGCCATGCTAAGAGAAGATAAGTCTTATAAAGTGACCTAAAAAATAGTGTGTCATATTTATGTATAGCATTAACTTCTGCATGAATCATAATTTTTAGCCACACCATTGGTAATGGGTGACTTTGCTAATGACATTTTAACAGTAGTCATGAATGACAATGTTAACATTTAAATACTAACTTTAGTTCCTCTGTCCTTGGGAGCTTGAATAGTGGTAGGGTAATTTGTTTGGGCAGCAGTAAGGCTGACAGTTTATATTAGCCAAAGCTTTACGTTGGCAAAAGAATCCACTCATCCACTTCCATGCACATCAACAGTTCTAATCTCCTTCACTACCTTTTCTATCACTAGCACATAGTCTTCCCTCTTCTGACAGCACCATTTTATGCTTTGCTCTTTTTTAAGGGTTAGAATCCAACAAACAGTAAATTTTACAATGACTGGTAAAAATTCCATCCATTATTAAAAATAAGCAGAATTCTGTACAATTAATTTTCACAACCCTGGTGAGATACTGTAGTAGCAGTATTTCACTGACTGGGTTGACCTTGACCAAGTTACTTAATTACTTTGAGCTTTAGTGAAGAAATGTTTTTCTTTTAAGAGATACAATCTGGAGCTTATATTAGACATGACTTTCCCTTACAATCAATGGAATTGAGTTTATATCAGAAAAGCAGAAAGGAATAATCAGGAAAGCAGAAAGGAATAATAAAACAAAAGGATTCTGAACGTGAATTTTGAAAAAATTTAATATAGCTTTAGATTACCTCCAAGATTCGCTGTAAAATTTTTCCTTTTTGTTTTGACAATTAAAAATTATGAAAGCTATTAGTTTATTTTCTATTACTGGAAATTTATCTGACTTAATATTATACATGGTACTAATATAATGAATATGAAACATCAATGAAGACCTACATTATAGATCTCTTCAGACCTCCCTCATTCCCGGTGGGTGTATGTATGTGTAATCTATTATCCAAAGAAAAATGTCACATAACCACCATGACATTATATAAACAGGTACAAGCGAATACAGAAAAATGTGTTACCCATTAAGCTCCTCAATACCAATTCTTAGACTATGCATCAATGGCAGGGAATTATGTGTAGCAGTTAACAACAATACATTTTGGAGTCAGACAGAACTCAGCTTAAGTCTGACTTTTTTGTTGTGGCCTTGAGCAAGCTACCTAATATACCTGGGCTTCAGGTTCTTCACCTGTAAAATGAAATACTACTACCTCATAGGGTCAGAGCAAGGACAAAACAAGTAATACATGTAAGCTTAGTGGTTACTTAGCACACAGAAAAAGTTGAATAACCATTAGCTATTGTTATAATTTTCCAGGATACATACAGTATATGATTATGTATTTTTTCTATGTACCCACCCTGACAGAATATTTAAATCTTTATTTTAACAATAAAAAAGGGGGTCCTGCCCTCGCCAGTGTGCTCAGTGGTTAGAGTTCAGCCTGCACACTGAAGGGTTACGAGTTTGATTCTCGGTCAAGGGCACAAACCTGGGTTACAAGTTCGATTCTGGCTCCAGTTGGGGCTCGTGCAAAGGCAACCAATTGATGTGTCTGTCTTACATCAATATTTCTCCCTCCCTCCCTCCCTCCCTCCTTCTCTTCCACTCTCTTTAAAAATAAATGGAAAAAACAGGTGAGGATTAACAAAAAAACAAAACAAATTAAAAAAGGGGTCCTAATGGAAGCTTTGCTTCTTTAACCCATTTACAAACATAAATGACCTATAAAGATAAACAAAAATTCATATTTTAAGGATTTTCTTTGTATTCATCACAAAGACTATTAATGCTTTTACATGAAAAAGCATCAGTGTACATGTTTATTAAACTATTTAATGTTTACACACAATACATAAACATTCTTGGAAGCTCCAAGTTCTTTGATGATTGCAATATTGTTTTCAAATAAGCATGATAGAACCTTAAATATTACATCATTCAGATTATTTTTTAAAGAGAGAAACCTCTAAGAGATCACTCCAACATAGTTGTCCATTAAGTATCTGTAGCAAAACTGGTAGATGTTTCAGCATATGGATGGTTCCTCTACTGCCTGGGCACCCTCTGTGACAGCTTTAACACATTTGGCCATTGTCTGTGAGGCTCTGCTAATTGAATCTGAAAGAGATTTTAAAAAGTTGGACTTTGATAATACAACTTTAAAAAAGCACATAGTAAAACTCTGTTTCACATATTCAGGAACAAAAAAAAAGGCTATATAAAATTATACAACTATGTGTAAATTTTGTGAGATCAACCAACAAATTCAGAGGATAAGCCCCTTATTAGCTAAATGCTTTTAATAAGTATTCCTAGGTGTGATTAAATAATTACATATAGCAAACAATGTGCCAGTATACAACAATTAAACATATTATAGAAAAGCATTAAAGACTGGAAAAATATGTGAATATATACTGTAATTGAAAAAAAGGTCACACAACAATGTGTATTAAAATGCATTCAATTGTACACTTTATGGGTAAATTTCATGGTATATGAATTACATTTCAACAGCTATAAAAAGCAAACAAAAAACTCATAGTAACTGAATAATCTGTTTTTGTTAGAATAATATATGTATATATCCCCAAGTGATTGGCCAAAATGTTAAAAATAAATATAGTTATTTCTGAGTAGTGGGGTCATAGTGAGTTTTTCTTGCTATTTTTAGCTTAGGCATATATTCTACAATGAATACAACTTTTATAACATAACTAAACATCCTATTAAAAATAATCTTAGATATAAATTGTACCAAAAAAATTAAAATATACTCCTACTTGCTTTTAGATATAAAAAAATGTTTAAATCATCTTATCAAGTACCTCATAACCTAGATGTTATATCAAGTGTTGTAAGATGTGCAGTAAACAAGTTTCAGTTAGTCTGCATTCCTTAAAAACATTCCTAACCCCTTCCATCAGAAGCACCATTTAACATGTTTCACCACTGAAGTATTTTGATTCTTCTACTGTAATTCTCAGGAAAACTTTCACAGAAAAACTCTCCCTAAATTGCTACACAGTGATACTAAATACAACAGTAAAATTTTATATTTAAAATCTGTTAACTTTTCCTGCATTTTCAAACTCTGCTTACATTTTAGAAAAGGGAATTACAGTAAAATCAGAAAATATGAATTATACCAGTTCTGATGTTTTAAAATCTTCAAAAATTAAAAATATTAAATACTAACAGGTTGTAATCACAATGCTGAATTATTCCTTACCACCTTTCATACTTGCCAGTCATGTTGACAATTGCATACCTGTCATATAGAAGTCTTTTATTGTTAGCTGAGGTGGAACAAGAGGATCAGCAAGTAGTTGCTGGTTCACTAGCTGCAAAAGAGGAGTAAGAAATCAATAATAGTATTAAAAAGTACTACTGTTACACTGAAGGATACACTATTATGAAAACAGCATATAGGTAAGTTTTTACCTTGGAGAGCTCACTTGATTGCTGGAAATAATTAGCTCCTTCAACATCATCATATCGAACAAGATTAGGAGAGACTTCTTCCAATCTGTTCCTTACTTGATCCAGAGTATCATATGGAAGAGTTATGCCTGCTATCTATAACATATCAGGACCCAAAAGTTGACATAAAGCTTTAATACTTAAAATTTTCAAATAATATATTGGTGGGCAAAAGTAGGTTCACAACTGTTTATATGAAAAATAATGAATAAATAATAATCTCTCTCTATATATAAGGCTAATATGCAAAGAGTCCCCTCGGGAGTTTGACTGGGAGTTCTATTGCTCACTATGATGTGTGCTGACCACCAGGGGGCGGCATGGAACAAAGGAAGGCCTCGCCGGCAGCTGGAAGGCCCCAATCAGCCCTGATCGCTGGCCAGGCCTAGAGACCCTACCCGTTCACGAATTTCATGCCCTGGGCCTAGAATAAATGCTGTGTTGCACATACAACTGTAAACCTATTTTTGCTCATCCCTGTATGTAACTGCGACTATGGTGAAATATACAGTACTACTGAAAATCTACTGGTGTCCATTAGTGTGTATATTAAGCAAGGGGGTAAGAGGGGAACACAATTGTAAAAAACACTGGTAATCCATAAATAGCTGTCAGTACATTAGTAATTTATCTTTAGAAAATAGACTGATTATGAAATAAATGATTGGAGATAATGCTATGCTAAAGGTGACTGCTTGTTATTGATCATATACAGCTTATAAACAACTGTACATTATTTTAAATCTCATGATTCTTTTTGTAGTAAAAAGAGTTAAAAGAAATATAAGTCAAAAATTAAAATACCAATTTCAAATTTCCATTTTTTAAACACATTTTCCCTGTAGAGATAATTCAAATCATCTTTGCATTACAGACTTGGGTCTTCCTTGACTTTGAAAACCATTCTGACAAACTAACATGTCAAGCAACCAAGAATAAATACCTCCGAGAGGGCTCTTAAAATTTTCCAGTCTTCTCTCGCCAAGCCAGGAGGGGTCACTGCTACTTTAGTCTGCTGAGCTCGGCCCTCAGTATTGACATAAGTAGCAGACTTCTCTGTGTAAGCTGCGCCTGGGAGAATAACATCAGCTATAGGAGCTCCAACATCACCGTGATGTCCTGTGAAAAGATGGAAAATGGCAAACAACATTTTAGTAAAAAACTGATTAGGTACTATTACATGAACATAGTAAACATTTTTAAAATTATAAAAGTGTTTTAAAAATAAAAACAATACAATACTGAAACACTGGAATAAAGATTAAAACCAACCTTGCCCACAATTCAACTTCCTTCCCAAAGAAAATTACTGTTAAAGTACCTGATATGTATCTTCCCAGATTATTGTTTGCAAATACACAAATATGTATCTCATACACATATATAGTGACAACTAGGTATATTATTTCTCTTGATGATTATAAAGTGAAAATGCTCGGATGAATTAGTGAAATTTGGTAAAGTAGACTGTGAAATGGTGGAGAAACAAAAAGTGTACAAGAATAAGACAGTAATAACACTGAAAAGGGTATATACAGAGAATTATAAAAAATAGTATAATGAATCACTAACAGTTTAACAAACTGTTGGGGGGGAAGAAATTAAATGAAGAATTATAGCACAACATATAAACTTTGATCTCATTTGTGTACATGCTTGTATGCATAGGAAAATGTATGAAGCATGCAGATCAAAACCACAATCACCCTGGCCGGGTAGCTCAGTTGGTTGGAGCGTCATTCCCATATGCCAAGGTTGTGGGTTTGAGCCTGGTCAGGGCAAATACAAGAATCAGCCAATGAATGCATAAATAAGTAGAGCAGCAAATCTCTCTCTCAAAATAATAAAAATTAAAAAATAAATTACTTAACAAACAACAACAAACCACAATCAATAATTATCTCTGGATAGAACTAGAATTTGAGTTTATGCATTTTGGTTTAACTTTATCAAACTAAAGATACAAACTACTTCCATGAAAAGCCTATTGTAAATTTATGGTGTTTATGTGTAAAATGAAGTGGAAAATTATGTAATACTTTTCTCTGTAAAATATCGAGAAAACTCTGGACTCCATTTATTCCAGGGAAACTTGATTTCATTTCATACAATGAATGAGAGTTCAAGAAAATGAGTCAAATATTAAAAAAAGCCCAAGGAGCACTATTAAATATGATGCATTAAAGTCCTGTAATACAGGACTCATGATTTTTAACGTTTTTAAATGGTTTCTTTGAAAAGCTGAATTTTAATGTTATATAATATCTCATTGTATAAATAAACCAGAATTTAACCATTCCTATTACTAGGAGCATTTAGGTTTAATTCTGTTATTAAATCACATCAAGTAATAATTCTTAATAGCAGTACCAACTATCTATACTAATAGAGGAATATGCAAATTTTCCAGGGCACCTTCACGTAACAACCAATCAGCACGTGGGCAGGGGCAGGGCCACTGTGGAGAGCTCTCAGCACGCCTGCGCTGGGGTTCTGAAGGGTGCGGAGAGGAAGGGAGAGCAGATAGGCAGTTAGGGGGATCAGGCCAGGAGGGGAGAGCAGTTAGGGCCATCAGGCTGGCAGAGGAGCAGTTAGGGGCAATAGGCAAGCAAGCAGGTGAGCAGTTAGGAGCCAGTGGTTCTGGATTACAAGAGGGATCCCGGATTGGAGAGGGTGCAGGCTGGGCTGAGGGACACCCCTTCTCCCTCCCCCCACCCCCGTGCACGAATTTCGTGCACCGGGCCTCTTAACAAATAAAACCTGTAACTTGGTTTTAAAAATACTGGGAGGGTGTGTGTGGGAAACTCCTGAATGGAAAATATTCAATCCACTGAATATATTGCCAAACAGTTTCTACAATACACAGTGTACTATTCTCTTCTGTTTCTGGTGTCACATGTTACTTACCTTGATAAATAATGAAACAATCCTTTGGCAAATCCTGTCGAGTGATACAACCTCCATCTGCTCCCAGGAGAAATAACACTTTGGGAGGGTTCTTTCGAATTGCTTCCACCCCAGGCTTATACCCAAGGTCTAAAGCAGCTACTTGGCTTGCAATCCTGTAGAATTAGGAATTTTTAGCATAAGTACCATGTTTCACTATAAAAAATTAAATGAGCCCTGGCCGGTGTGGCTCAGTTGGTAGGAGCACTGTTCCATACACTGAAAGGTCAAAGGTCAAGGCTTCCATTCCTAGGTTGCAGTTTCTATCCTCAGCTGGTCAGGGTGTTAACGGAAGACAACTGATCGATATTTCTTTCTCACATTGATGCTTTGCACTCTCTCTCCCCCTTCCTCTCTCTCTGAAAATCAATGAAAATATCCTCAGGTTTAAAAAAAAAATTTTAATGTGATACCTAAACCATCCCTCACCTTTTTTATCCATTTAAAACAGATGTCAAAAGCAGAAACAATAGTCTTTTACTTTTAAGAATGGCTAAAAAACAAACAAACAAGATGTCTAGGCCACTGTGTTTCTTCCTTAGCTAATATTTAATGAAATAATTTTGGAAGCTTTCTGCCAATTTCAATTGTTTTAAGTTGATTCTTATTCAATACAGTTAAGCCATAAAACACATGATAAGCCAAACACAGTAAATTAGAGAAAAATGGGTGATTTTGAAAGCCAAAAGGGATAAATTTAAACACACTCATAAAACTGTAATTCAGAGAAAACTATAATGAATACAATGGTGTATGTCTTTATGGAATTTTTTTCTGTGAACATATATAACTCTTATAAGCAGAAAATAATCTTTTAAAAAAGATAGATGTTTCTCTCTCACACTGATGTTTCTCTTTCTCCCTCTCCCAATTCTCTCTCCAATCTATGGAAACATATTCTCTGGTGAGGATTAAAAAAAATTCATAGCTGAATCCTTTGCAGAAACTGACCAACTGATCCTAAAATTCATAAGGACTGCAAAAGACCCAGAATAGCCAAACCGATCTTAAAAATGCAAGTTGTGCCCAGGCAGCGTGGCTCAGAGTGTTGACCTATGAACCAGGAGGTCACGGTTTGATTACTGATCAGGACACATGCCCAGGTGTGGGCTCAAACCCCAGTGTGAAGTGTGGAGGCAATCAATGATTCTCTCTAATCACTGATGTTTCTCTCTCTCTCTTCCTCTCTGAAATCAATAAAAATATATTTTTTAAATTATTTCTAATAACAGGAAGAAATTTTTATTTGGTAATAAGAATCTATCAAAATGAGGACACAAAATTGTATGCACAGTATGATTTCAACTATATTACTTTACACGGGAAATAAAAGACCAGACAAGAGTACACCAAAATAGCAATAGTAATTATCTACAGATAGTGGAATAAAGAAAACTTTTATTTCATACTCTTTTTTCTCTTTCGAAACTGTCTTAAACTTGCATTGTTAATATACTCACCAAAAAACTTCAGATATATTCTCAGTAAGTTAGCTTACACTTTCATCATTTAATCAGACATTGCAATTTTTGCAACAAGTTATACTGATTCAGATTTTCAAGATTTCTCAGCACTTAACTGCAAATTTGGATATTTTAAAGTATTTTTTATTATCTTGGGTTTTTCTCACAAAGAAAGTAAAGGTTTCTATTTCATACCAGCTAAGATAATGTTTTTAAATATTAAGTTGTTTGTAAATCTAAATGTGACAATGTAAGACACTTATACACAAAATTACGTGAATTTTATATTATGTAAAACAATACTCAACATACCTATGTAGGATATTCATAACTTTCCAATCACCAGCAACACCACTGCTCATCCGAATCTTTTGAGCAATGCTGGAAACAGCTGCAAGAATCGCTGCCCCATCATTTCTTTGGAGCGCAGAACTACCTAAAACCACCATAGGTTTTTTAGCTTCCTTTAAGACCTATTAAAAAAAATTTTTGTAACTTTTATGAAAAACACATGAAAACTAAACTTAACCAAATCTGAATCTACAATATGTTGTCCCCAAGTTTAGTCAACATATAGACATACATACAGCCACAATTAATCACATTGCCAATGCTATGTGAAATGATTAAACAAGTACCGTGAGATAAAACAGATTTTCTCAAAGTAAGCATTGGGAATCAAAATCCAAGCCAAACAACTTTGGTCAGGAAGACTGAGTCAGAGGGATTGGGGAATGTTCCCGACAGATTCCGATGGTACTGTGTAACAGGAGAAACCATGCTAAGGTACCATGTCTACTGTCTTCTGTCTACTCAGCAGGTCCCAGACAGGGAGGAGGTGGTAGGGAAAGCAATGATCGCTAGATCCCAATGCAGTTTGCTTTCAAACATAGCAACTTCCTGAATGCCAAGAGCAAAGGAAACTACAGCTTTGGTAGAAGATGAAAAAAATTAGAAGTAAAGCTGTAGACTACATAGCTCACTCTCCTGCCCATCCCTCTGTTTCATTCTTCAAAAGACAGCTAGCCCTAATCAAAGAATCAGCATGAGAATTATACCTAGATACTACAAAGAGGAGGATATTCATTGCAAGAAGAATTTCCCAAGGAAATGTGAAGAGTTCGGAGAAAGTTTCAATAGCCTCAAAAGATGAAAAACACACTTTTATCGCACTTAAAAAAATAAGATTTCAGCCTGTCCTGTGGTGTGTGGCTCAGTGGTTGAGCATCGATTGACCCATGCACCAAGAGGTCACTGGTTCCATTCTCAGTCAGGGTACATGCCCTGGTTTCTGGATCAATCCTCAGTGGAGACCATGCAGAAAGCAGTCAGTCAATGTTGATGTTTCTCTCTCATCAATGTTTCTATCTCTCCCTTTCCCTTCATATCCCTCCTCCCCCCAAAAAAAATCAGTAAAAACAAACAAAAAGAGTTCAAATAAGTGACATAACAGAGGGTATAATACAATAGATTTTCATATCAGAACTAAGGAGAGAACTGGAAGAGAAATTAGATATGAACACCATTCCAGAAACAATAAAATAAACAAAATAAAACATGACTGTAAATACAGGAACAAGAAAGGCTATAAAAAATTATATAAAACAAACTGAAAAAGAACAAAAGAACTAAGGAAAAAATGACAGAAAAGATAGAAAAGGAGATCCAATATTTGCATGGTTAAGAGTTCTTGATGAAGAAAACAGAATTGCCAGGCAGGTGTGGCAGGCTTGATTCCCAGTAAGGGGCATGCAGAGGCATCTGATCAATAATTCTCTCTCATCGCTGATGTTTCTTTTTTTAAAAAAAAAGAAAAATATATGTATATATATTTTTTAATTGATTTCAAAGAGGAAGGGAGAGGGAGAAAGAGATCTACACTAATAAAAGACAAAGATGCTAATTGCCCGTACCTTCGCTACACTCACCAGCCAATCAGAAGAGTATGCAAATTAACCCAACAAAGATGGCCGTTAAATTTGCATACTGCAGGCAGATCCCGCTGCTGCACCGCCCTGCGCAGGCGGCAGCGCGATCCCCAGCCACTGCCCGCCCCAGCGCAGGATCCGGGCCTGCCGTGAGCGACCGGGGAAGACGGGGCAGGCACCGCGGAACTGGGTGTGCCATCTGCCACCAGGGGAGCGGGCCTAAGCCAGCAGGTGGTTATCTCCCGAGGGGTCCCAGACTGTGAGAGGGCACAGGTTGGGCTGAGAGACCCACCCCCCCCACTGCCAGTGCACAAATTTTTGTGCACCGGGCTTCTAGTAGAAACATAAATGACAAGAAAGAATCACTGATTGGCTGCCTCCTGCACACCTGCTACTAAGGATGGATCGAGCCCACAACCCCGGCATGTGTCCTTGACTGGAATAGAACCCGAGACCCTTCAGTCTTCAGGCCAACACTCTATCCACTGAGCCAAATCAGCTAGGGCTCATCATTGATGTTCCTATCACTTCCTTTCCCTTCCTCTCTGAAATCAATAAAAAAATATTTTTTTAAAAGGCACACGTTTAAAAAAAAGAGAGAGAAAATAACTAATCCTATATAATAAAAGCCCAGAGACGAATGGCTGAACGACCAGAACAACCAGTCGACCAGTTGCTATGAAGTGCACTGACCACCAGGGGCAGACGCTCAACGCCGGAGCTGACCCTGGTGGTCAGTGCACTACCACAGTGGGAGCACTGCTTGGCTAACCAGGACAAGCAGCTGCTCCCACAGCGGGCCGATCCCTGCAGGCCACGCCCCCCCACCAATGCACAAATTTTGTGCACCAGGCCTCTAGTTATATAATAGAAAACATACATTGAAATCTATTATAGAAGCAAATTTTCCTGAAGAACACTGAATCATCTCCTGGGGCATAAGGATGAGAACTAGAGATAAAAGAGGGCTACTTAATATTTTTTAGTATTTTTGATCACTGTAATCATGGTAATGTTTTTCCTCCTTAAACAAATAGGGCTTGGCTGCTTTGTCCCTTTGACCCGACTGTCTTCTTATTTACATTTGAGGCTATAAATGAAGCAATCATCTTGGAACCATGAGAGGAGGCTCACACAAACACATGAGTGAGCAAATGCAGCGAGGATAGCAAAGCAAGAAGGCCCCTTCCTTGATGACATCTTGGGAAACCTGTATCATCTGTCAAACTACCTACCTCCAGAACCATTATGAGAAATAAAAACCCCTCCCACTTTTAAAATAATCACACACACACACAAATTCTGAAATAAAGAGAACCTTGAATCTTCAGACTGAAAAGCACACCTCCTCAGATAAAAAGTGACAGAGAACCACCATTAAGACACTTTCTGGTGAAGTTCTTAACTTTCAAGAAAAAAGTATCTAGACAGGAAAAAAAAAATAGGACAGGGCTGGGAGAAAACAGCTCATGTCAGACTTCTCCACAGTAACAAGTGTTTATGAAGTTTAGAGAAGAAAAAAAGTGTGACCCTAGAACTTTATATCCGCTAAGGCTCTCTTCAGGAATACTAGACATTTTCAAGCAAGCAAGAACTCAAGGGATAGTGCACCTATGAGACTCTCTTTAAAAAATAAGAAATGAACAACTATAATCTACAGACAGCAAGGAAATGAATATTTATGAGGACTCTAGTAATGAAAAAGGTCATGTAAAAGAACTGGTGAAATTTCTTTTTTTTTTTTTTTTTTTTTTTTTTTTATATATATTTTATTGATTTTTTACAGAGAGGAAGGGAGAGAGATAGAGAGTTAGAAACATCGATGAGAGAGAAACATCGATCAGCTGCCTCCTGCACACCTCCTACTGGGGATGTGCCCACAACCAAGGTACATGCCCTTGACCGGAATCGAACCTGGGACCTTTCAGTCCGCAGGCCGATGCTCTATCCACTGAGCCAAACCGTAAAAGAACTGGTGAAATTTCTTTTAGGAATAATAACTTGCAATAAAGAAAGACTTCATTGCCCTAGCCAGTTTGCTCAGTAGTTAGAGCATCAGCCTGCAGACCATGGGTTTGATTCCTGGTCAAGGGCACATACCTCCAGTCAGGGCGCATGTGGGAGGCAACCAGTCAATGTATCTCTCTGACATGGAAGTTTCTCTCTCTCTCCCCCCCTGCTTTCCCTCCCAATTTCTCTCTCTAAAGATCAATGGAGGCACCCTCTTAGCGCAGCAGGCAGCGCGTCAGTCTCATAAAGATCAATGGAAAGATATCTTTGGGTAAAGATTAAAACAAAAAAAGAATAAGAAAGAATTCATTGAAGGTTAAGGTTTAATCCTTTCAGTTTCACTTCAATGTCTTTTCTGATAATTTCAAATAAAATTAAACTCCAGTAAATAAAAACAGCACATATGATATCACTTCATTTTTGTTTGTTTGCCTGTTATTCATCTATCTTGCTCTATATATGAACAGAGAGATGATAATAATGTATTACCAATACTTGTTTGGGGTGGTAGGATTTTGAATTTTTTACTTTCTTCCATGATCTTGTCTATATCGCTATAATTTTTAACACTAATCACATAATATTACAAAAGCAAGAAATTTTAACAATACTTAAAAATCAGTAAGTGTAAATACATATAACTTGAGAGTACCTGGCTGAATGGATGGGTACCTGAAGCAATGTCTTGAAGAATTTTGGGAGAATCTCCCAGATGGTCATATCTGTAAGTGAGATCCACTTGGCTGCCTATAAGGGCCACTTTTAAGTCATTATGAAGCCAGCTGAAATAAAAACAGCAAAGTTTTTAGAGCTAAATTACTGAGCTATTGGTCTCATTAATGCTAGTGTTACATGTTATTTATATTACAAAATGTTAAAAGCACAAAAACACTAGCAGAACATTTAACCTTAACAGATATAATTTATTGTGTACCTTTCAAAAATAAAGTGTTGTAAAAATACACACAAAGGTAGTCAATTAATTTTCTGTGTCAGAATGCTATCTGTATAAACCAGCTATAAACAAAGACTAATTTTAGAATAAACGATCCGTAGTTTTTATTTTGCCATATTTACACAACAGAATTATCTCCTAATTATCCACTAAAGCTATTTAAATATAGTTCATGAAAGCCCTGCCGGGTGGCATCATCTGGTACACCTAAAAGGTTGCATGTTCAATTCCCAGTCAGGGCATATACCTAGGTTGCAGGTTTGATCTCCAGTTGGGACACATATGGGAGGCAACCAATCCATGTTTCTCTCTCACACCACTATTTCTCTCTCACTCTCTCTCCCTTTCTCTCTCTAAAA